GCCGAGGTTGGAGACCCCTGATCTAGGGAATGCCAGCAACGTCATGCTCCATTGTCCCAAAGGTGCTTTTTTCAAGAGGCAACTGGACTTTGTATTTCCTTGAAGATGTTTCGCTTCTCATCTGAAGAAGCTTCTTCAATTCTTCGGATGAGAAGCGAAACGTCTTCGAAGAAATACAAAGTGCAGTTGCCTCTTGGAAAAAACACCTTTGGGTCAACCAGGACCTGGATGGCTGAGAATCTCCACAGACGTCCTCTTCCACTAATACATGCCACCCATTTAATGGCTGCACAGCGATTTTTGTGGGTGGCTGTTAAAAGATTTGCACCACAATAACTTGCCTTGAATTTCGTGAAATCGCTGAGTGGTACGCACTCCTCTGATGGGTGTTCAGCAGTGGCTGCCTGCACCAGCGGGCAGACTCTTGGGAAAAACGCCGCCGCAAATCTGTGTGGAAGAGAACCACCTCAGAGCTGGTTTCCAGGCAAAGCGTCCGCACAAACGGAGAGCCAACGTGACCAGAAGCAGCCAGATAACAGATCATCAGAGTTGGAAGGGACCTTGTAGGTCATCTAGTCCAACCCCCCGCCCAAGCAGGAGACCCTACACCATTTCTGACAAGCGGCAGTCCAGTCTCTTCTTGAAAGTCTCCAATGATGAAGCTCCCACAACTTCCGAGGGCAACTTCTGTTCCATGGGTTGATTGTTCTGACTGTCAGAAAGTTTCTCCTTATTTCCAGGTTGAATCTCTCCTTCTTCAGTTTCCATCCATTGTTCCTTGTCTGGCCTTCGGGGGCTTTGGAGAATAGCTTGACCTCTTCCTCCTCTCTGGGGCAGCCCCTCAGATATTGGAAGAAATATTGGAAGAAATATTGGAAGAAAACACTGGAAGCCAACCTGCAGTTCTTCTGGGCGCGCGAGAGAAACCTGGCGGAGATGCTCAGGCGGGGATTCAGAAGCGGGCTCCCTCCATCCTCACTCTCTCCAAATGACTGCTGGTCTCTGATGCAACCGTCAAACGTTTCTGTACACAAACAGGAAGGCAGAGAATTTGTCCGAGTGCCATTAGAAGACAACTGGTAGCTCACGGCTGATTTGTGGGCTCCTTGGGGCTCTCTCAGCTCGGTGGTTTTCTTGAAAAAGTTTCATGACCCACCTAGGGAACATTATCAGGGGTAGAAGACAGTGGGGTTGGTGGACAGGAGGAGGAGGAGGAGGAGGAGGAGGAGGAGGAGGAGGAG